GCATTTTCTAGCAATAAAAGGCAAGCCCATTTTCCAAGAATTGTAATGCCAAGGGCTAGTGTGGTTGGGAGAAACAATTCTGATAATAGGTGCCCTGGTACCAGGCCCTTCCCACCATATATTAGTATATGGGAATTGAGGCAGAGCCAAAACTATTGTTGTGCCAAGTTTAGCCAGTACCTTCCACTTAGCTCCCCAGTTTTTCACTACAAGAGGACTTTTGGGGAGAAAAGCAACAGTGGCATTCGGACTTCTGCACAAAGACTAAAAGACTGAGTCTTTACAGCTACTGTCTAAAGTACAAGGAGGAATTGGAGGGGATTGAGAGTATGATAAATCCCTTGTGGGTTCACAGGTTGACTATAGTTACCATGGAAAGCTGATAGTAATCACTGTGTTGCTCTTTGCTTGCAGCGTAAAGTTGCTCCTTTAAAGGAAAGCACAAAGTGTCAGTAAAAACAGAAAATCAAATTAGTAAATACTTAGCAACATAAACTGTATTTTTTTGGCACCAGCATCCAGTGCTTGTTTTCTTCGAATGGGGTATCTGGTCTGTTATCTGTCTGATTAGTTTTCATTTCCAGGTAGCAGAGCTTGATATCTGTTTTGTTCATGATAAGGCTTTGCCCTTTTAGCTGGAAGCCAAACAGGACCTGTAGGGATGGAAAGCATACCCTCTTCCTTATGTTAAGAGTCCTACAGGGCCTTTTCAAGAGTTATCTTCCAGTGGATCTCTATATAAAACCTGAGGATAAGATGACTTTTGCTCTTTTTTTCTGAAAATGTTTCTCAATTAGAGTACAGATTGATTTATTACAATTTAGAAAATTATAGGTGAACAAAGCTAACATAATCTAATTTTGGGGGGTTGCCCTCTTGACTTCCCCTTTTTTGTTTTTTAAGAATATTTATAAAGGTATGATGCACCCATTCAACAATTGCCTGACTAGTTGAATTATAAGGTATTCCTGTTTTATGTTGGATATTGCAACGCTGAGGGAAGGCTTGAGTAGAATGGACAAGATATCCTGGGCCATTATTAGTTATTTAATTTGCTGAGGCCATCTTAAATGACTAAAGGCCTCAAGCCAATGGGCTTGTATATTTTTAGCAAATTCTCTTGTTAAAGCAGATGCATGTAGGGCACCAGAATAAGTATCAATAGAAATATGAATATATTTGAATTTCCCAAAGAGAGAGTAATGAGTGATATCTGTTTGCCAAATCATTTGAGAACTTAGTCCTTGAGGGTTAATTCCTGTGGATGGAGGTGCCTTAGTAAGGGCTTGACAGTCAGGGTGTTCTTTAATAATTTGCTTAGCTTGGGAATGATAAACAGTCCTTTAACTTTTTTCTATTACTTTGCTTGTTTAGCTCCAGGGGTCTGATTCTTGCCCTCCTGGGAGGGCTCCTCTAAGCCCTTAACCCTTGGTTTTCCAGTTTGCAACAGGTAGGGAGCAGTGTGAATGAGATTTGGTTCCAAGTGGTGACTGAAAAACAGTCTCAGTTTTAAAAGAGCTATTATTTTTGGAGGGGAGGGTGGCCTTGGAAAGACAGACCCCCTGCTGTTTTTGAAAGCTGCAATGAGTTTGAGCAGCAAATTAACTGCCTTGTTGTTCTCAGGACCTGGTAGTTTTTAGGTTCAGAATTTGTAAGAAAAATGAGGAGGTTGCGGGGAGTCTGCTCAAATATGTTTTAGACAAAAGAGGTTACACACCAAGGGCCTTTTGTGACTCGATTGACTAACCCGTTCCCTCTGACAGAATAGCCAGTTCTTCCCCAAGGAAATGATCAGTGTTTACTTGTATTGAGTTAAAAAATGATACTTATTCTTCTGTGGAGAAGGGCTAGTTATTTCTGGGAGACAGTATACCTATATTTTATGTTTACAATAAAAGATCACAGCTCCAGCATAAACAAAAATGATTCTTAATATTTCTTTAACACATCACACCCCCAACTTTAGATTGACAAATTTATGAACACATTCATACTTTTTAGAAATATTTTTTCTCTACTGGCAAATGCATTTACTTTGTTTTGTTTTTTTTTCTATTCTTGGTGATTACTACATTCCCAGAATGTGCTTAAAAGTGAGCCGTATCATTATCTAGTGCCCTTGACAACTTTAGGGAGGCTGGAGAGAAGGGAAGGAGGATGCTAAGCTCAGCATAGCTTGTTCCCAGGACCAAAGAAGTCCTTGGGCCTTCAGAAAGAGGATTCAGAGTGGTTAAAAGACACATTTTCTCATTGCTTTTCTTCCTGTGCTTTTTACTGTCTGAAGGAACTGAGATTTTTTTTAAATAATTCATTTAAATTTTTTCTGAGTAGAATCCTTATGATGTAACAACATTAGAGATCTCATTCAATTTACCAAAACATTTTGAGACTGAGACATTACTTTTAAAACAGAAATAAAAATAAAATTCAAGCACACCAGTATTTTCAAATTAAATCCTCTAAAGGAGAAGGGAGTGAGACACTAGCCTTTATCTCATACTACTTGGTGCTGTTTTAACTTCTGCCCAACTTTTTCCTAAATAACTAAGTCTAAAGATCCCTTATCAGGGAAACATCTAGCAGCCTTAAAAAGCTGCTGAATTAACATAAAACATTGCTCTTGTTCTTTAGAGAGCCATTCCCCATGGTTGAGGATTCTCAGAAACTTAAAAAAAAATTTTAACAAATAAAAGAACCATTTTCTAAAATTCCTCCCACCGCAAGTGCAGTGATTACAAAACCAGTTTCCCTTTCATCCCATCTCCACCTTTAAATCCTACTTGTTCCTAGTGAAAAGAATGTAGTAGGTCAAAATGTACTGCTGGTGGGAGACAGTTGAGAAGGGCTGCCTGTTATCCAGGGTACCCTAACCCTGCTTATGGGTTTCAGATTTTTCCCACATGTTTAAGACTGTGAGGGGGAGCTCGAAGTGCCAGGTGACCAACCTTTGTATTGTGATCCCTGACCTAGCCAAGAGTTAAATTACTGTGATTGGAATTCCCTGTGAGGCCACTGTATGTCTCAGGGATTGACCTCAGACACCTCCACAAGGCCCCTACTCACGTAGGAAGGCCTGAGATCTCAAGCCGGAGGAAGGAATGCCTCTTAGGTGCTTCAGCAAGAAGCTGAGACACTTATAAATAACTGTGTAACTAACAGAGTTCTCAAAGCAATCTTCGGAGTCCAGTTGAAACCAAAACACTCATTTACTATCTGCTTTTTTGTTTACAGGCAGGCAGAGGGAAAAGGCAGAATTAAAAGTGTGGCAGGAAAAGAAAACTCTAAAAGTTTCTTATGCTCTGTAACTGTAATGTTACAGAACAGACAAGGGGGGCCTGGGACAATATACTATTACTGAAAGAAGGCCCCGGGTCCGTTATGTCCGCCGCCAGAGGAAAGACGTCTCTCAATGCCAGAGATTTGTGAAAAGGAAAGGAAATGTTTATTTAATGCTATACAACTTCAAGTAGTGACCTAATGTCTTCATCAAAAATCCCAAAGTCCCTTAAAACACCCACAAACAGACACAGTCCTTCCTTCCTTCCCCCTTTGCCCAGTCCAGAGTACCGTATCTCAGGAAAGAAAATAGAAGTCCATGGCTCAGACAGTCCTCTGGTTCTTAGTTAGTCCTCCATCTCGACTGGGAGACCTCCCTGGGTTCCCGGCACCCTCGGCTGAGTCGCCGGGATCTCTGCTAAAACCAGGTGGTGGTTCCCCCTTCTAAAGCTGCGGGGGTCCCCACTCTGTCCAGGCCTCGTGGTTCTCCCTCTCAGGGCTGCGGGAAGGGGAGAGTCCCCACTCTGCCAAAGCCATGTGGTTCTCTCTCCTAAAGCAGCACGGTTCTCTCTGGGATGCAGGAGTCTCCACTCCGTCAAAGCTGTGTGGTTCTCTCTCCTAAAGCAGCACGGTTCTCTCTCTCAGGGCTGCGGGAGTCTCCACTCTGCTAAAGACGCATGGTTCTCTCTCTCTGGGATGCGCATGGTTCCCTCCCTCAATGGCTGAAGTCCTCCCTATTCTGCTAAAGCCGCATGGTTCTCTCCTCCTCAGGGCTGCGCATGGCTCTCCTTCTCAAGGCAGCATGGTTCTCCTTCCTAAAGCACCACGGTTCTCTCTCTCATGGCCGCCAAGTTAAATCCCCGCGGCCAATCTTCCTCTGCAGCCTCATTTCCGACTCCTCCCACACTCGGCTTCACATGCCAGAACTCTTATCCTTCCAGCTTTACTGGGCTGCCATCATGAGTCTGGGCAGGTGTGGCCCCCTGTCCTGGAGCCAATCTTCTCTGAGCTCCCACGCAGGCGCTGTAGCTTGGGGGATCTGCCCCCAGTCACGTCTTGGTGGGGAAGTTACTTCCATTCCCCTGGCTCAGAGATGATCACGGCTATTTAACATATCTAAGCGACCAGCCAAAGGCTATAGATATGTTAAATGACCACGCCAGAGGGTAGCTGCAAGGCTGTTGCTATGCAAAACAGCTCTCAATGGCGTTGCTCCATTTGTCCCTTCCCCCAACCCACACCCTGGGTTGGGGGATGGAGACATCTTAAAATCTCCTGGACACCTTAAGTTCTGGACCCCATTTCAAATGCCCATTTGGGGTCCCCCCTCTTGGCTGCACCCTTGCAAAATTTCACACAGGACTGTAGAAGCTGACCAGTCGTAACCAAAGCAACAGCCAGTTACTCAAGGTCGTACACTGACTCCCATGATAAGCTCCTGTGCTCTGTAGCTTCTGCAAATTCCTCCTGCATTTTCTCTTTGTCTCCCACATAAGGTAGCTAGACCTAACTTCCACATTCAGCTTCTGTAACCTTGCTTTGCCACGTAGGTAGGAAGCCCGGGACTATTTAAACCCTGGGAGAGTGAGGATCGGTGCTCAGAGGATTTGGATGTTAACCACCCCCTCTGGGTCCCCGGGTAATAAAGTTTGTGCTGCAATATCTCCGCGTGTGTGAGTGGATTTTCCACAACATTTTGGTGCATTGGCCGGGAAATCCCTCACGCGAGCAGGTATTTTGCCTCCGGTGAAGGCGACCCAGGGAGTCGGCGGGGGAGCCCTGCTGCAGGGGAGGAGCATGTGCCCTGGTGATTCCAGGCTTCCCCGGCAGAGACTCCCCGTGCCACATCCCCGACCGCTCCAACACCCAGGCGGAGAGGAGAGAGGAACCACGAACTGTCGGAGGCACCAATCACGTTTCGGGGAGCCCCGGGGACCGGATTCGAGTATCAGGGGGTGTTGATCACCCCCAACCGGAAAATTTAGGAGTCTGGGCCAAGACCCAGACCATCGGACTCCTACTCGAGGGAGAACTGGTGACTGACTGTGTGAATGTGTGTGTGACTCTACGGGCCGGCCAGGCTTACAGAGTCTGATTGGGCCCCCTACCTTTGGCGGGCGTGTGAAAGATCCCCTTTTTCCTTTGTTTGTCTGCGTCAGTTGGGAGAATTCATCATGGGTTGGGGGGGTTTCTGCCCCAGTACTATATTGCATGTATGTGGGTGCACCGCCATTTTGGGTAAAATGGAGGACGAGCCACGTGAGTACCCCCCCACCCCGGGGTGGAGGTGCATGGTTGTCGTCATCTTGGATAATGAGTCACGTGAGAGCCCCTCCATCTTGGAACTGGGCAAGGTGCCAGGCTAAGGGCTCTCTCCAGACTGCATCCGTCTGGTTCTTTGTGTAATTGGTTCTGATAAGGATGGCTCTGAAGGACCTGTACTGAAGTTAAGGAAAACATCTGGCCTGTAGGGTGTTTGCAGGGTCTGAGCTTCAGAAAACTGCAGCCTGCAGTGTCAGGGACTTTCGGCTGTCCTTCCCAGAGTGGGAAAGGAACCAGGATTAAAAAGAATAATGGTCAAATCTGAATGAGTAAAATTATGTATAAAGAATGTAAAGTTTTAAACCTGGAGTAAAGGAAACCTCAACTATTTGTTTTCTGGTTTTGTGGGAAAAGAGCAGTGTTGTTTCTGATCAAAAACCCTCTGTACTTAAAATCTGTTTAAGGTTGCCTGTAACCGGTTGGGGAGGATGCCTTTGCCACTCGGGACCCAGGAAAGGTCATTTGGGGCTGATAATTGCTTCAGTCAGAGGCAAAGCAGCATGTCTCTGCCAAAAGACCAGGCCTGAAGGAGCATGTCTCTGTGCGAGAGAATGCCCCAACCTGTGTACTGTTCTGGAAACTCTGTGTTTTGGGTTTTGCTCTGCATCTGCTGTGAAGAGGAAATGAAGGATTCCAGGTTAGGTTCAAACTTCACACTCTGTAGAAAAGTAAATAATTTACATATATATATATATATATATATATATATATATATATATATATATATATATAAATGAAGAAGGTCTGTAGGAAACTAAAGATAAATGGAAAAGTAAGAGTTTTGGAATTATGTGATGTTAGTTAATAATAAAAGGTATAAGGCATGGAAATACACTCTTGGTGGATATCAGAAAATATATGAAAACTAAAAGGGTTGTAAATGTTGCATAAGTCTGTAGCAGTAAAGGCTTTAAGAAGCCTGGTAAATATCAGAAGGGAAACGTTTCTCCTTCAGGCTTTGTATTTTTCTCCCTACCTGATCCCTCCAGAATTTGGCATTCTGAAGGAGTAAGTGAAAACATAAAGTTTCTTTGCATAAGACCAATAAGACCAGTAGTTAATAGTAGTTTTGTTAACCAAGACTTTGGAACATCACGTCTGAAGGAGGCATGTATGGGTTCTGGTCGTCACCAGAAAGCCCTGAGGAACTGGGATTGACTTGTGAAGCTAGCATAAGCCCACGAGAAAAGCCTGGTACTTTGGTTGGTTGTGCAGTTTGTGGCAGTCTTTCCAGGGAAGGAACGAAGGTTGCTTTCATGAAAGATGGCTAAAAAGGAACCTGTAAGCACAATGAAAACCTCAAGGATCTGAGTGAAACAACTGGTACAGGCAAAGCCAGATGGCGGATGTGTGGCTCTGCTTCTGTGCCCTGAGGGGTGGACCGAGAAGTCAATCTGAAGGTTCCCTGTGTGAGTTCCAGCAAAGCAGAATCAAGAATCATAAGTAATTCAGGCTGCTCTTGGTGTGTTTATGCAAATGAACAGTCAAAATAAAAAAGAGAACTCAAAGTAGTCCCTTTAATAACAGGGTGATCTTAAGGAGAAAAATTATGGTTCAAGGAAAATCACTGTGCTCAGTATTAAACATCAGAATAACGCAGCTAACTGTCTTAAAAGTTTGTTTTCATTTGCAGATTAAAACCGGTTTTGTAATATCATCAAAATGTACAATTTACAGGTGTAAAGGACCTGTCAAATTACCATTGCTGAGTGTCATAGCAGGAAAGACCTTGCAACTGAACGCCTTCCCAAAGACAGTCTCATAGGCACAGAGACTGGTTTGGGACTATTGTGTAAATTAACCTGTGTGTTCTGTTTTCATAGGACGTATGCCTATGACTTCACTGCCTGATTGATTGGTTGCAATATAGGCCTCACTTAAGGAGCCCATTTTCATCGTCACCCCCTGGAGCTCAATGGTTTGGCTAAACTAAGTGGTTGGGTTAGTAAGCAGTTTGGGCGATCTGTGGACTTCACTTTAAAACTGATTTTCCCTTTTCTGTCTTAGTGGCTTGAACAGAAAAGGTTTAGATATCTGAAAGGAGGGAAATCATAATATATTCCCTCAGCCTGAGTAAAGTATAATGGACCACAAAAGCTTTGGATAGGTGTAGCATGCCTTGTACACCTTCCTCCAGATAAGCCATACCTTATGCCTTATGTGTGGCTCCCCACCCCAGTCCATATCCCACGTTAGGGCACAAGTCTGACTGCTTAGTTCCTTTTTCTATGTGAAAAAAAAATTTCAACAGGATTGAATGCATTCATAAGGTTGCATCATCTCACTGAATTTATTGCCTCCTTTATAATTTATAAGAAAAAAAATAGCTCATGCCTTTTTAGTCTCACAACATGCCAGGGAGTATGGCAAACACCTGACACAGATTTTCCTCTAACTCTTATGGTAACAGCATGAGGTGGGTTTTGTTATCTCCATTCGGCAGTCAGTTAGCTGAGTCTTAGGTGGTGTGAGAGCCATTTTGCTTCAGGTCACTCAACTAGTGAGTGGTGAAGCCAGGTTTGGAGCCTGAGCCCCTTCAGCTGCAAAGCCCTGTTCAAACTACGGTTCTCCACAGCCTCCCTTCAGAGCACTGCAGATCTCATGGGTCATGTTGTAAGTACTAACATTCATGGCCCTTAGTTGCTTCCCTGAGCCCCCAAAGCATTGCTGACTCTATCTTCTCTCAGCTCCCCAGCCCTGAGGAGCCCTCTCCAGAAGATTGCCCTTTGTAGATAAGCTGCTCCCTGCTTGCTCCACACTTTGCGAATCCATATGTATCATTTACAAAGATGTCAGAGTGTCCAACTTCCCCATAAATTGTACATGGTCTTCAAAACTTCCATGCTACTCCTCTATTAAGTTTTTGCTTCCTATTTCAGATAAGAACCAGCACTTTTGTCATATTTGAACTTCAAATATCCACCCACATTATCAACTTGCCCGCCACATCCTCTAAGAATCCAGTTCAATCATTTGTGGTGAAAATGTAGCTGGTCCACAGTAGAATGACAGTGAATGAGTGTGTTTCAATTATAGCTAAATCTCCAGGAGGCAATGCTTCAGTAAGTTCCACTGCACCTTGAAAATGTGTTTGTGTGAGTTTCTTAATCACTCAGCAATTTTTAAAAACTGGAACTGCATGTAATAGGCATTTTAACACAATGTTGAGTGGTTTAGCAACCTGTCAACATTTTAACCTGCTCTACTACAAGTCTGACAGTTTTTGTTACACTTCCTCCTCCTGTGTCTTCATGGTATAATCTTATCCCAGCCTGGTTGTTACAGGGTGCAGCCAAGAGGGGGGACCCCAAATGGGCATTTGAAATGGGGTCCAGAACTTAAGGTGTCCAGGAGATTTTAAGATGTCTCCATACCCCCACCCAGGGTGTGGGTTGGGGGAAGGGACAAATGGAGCAAGGCCATTGAGATCTGTTTTGCATAGCAACAGCCTTGCAGCTACCCTCTGGCGTGGTCATTTAACATATCTATAGCCTTTGGCTGGTCGCTTAGATATGTTAAATAGCTGTGATCATCTCTGAGCCAGGGGAATGGAAGTAACTTCCCCACCAAGACGTGACTGGGGGCAGATCCCCCCAAGCTACAGCGCCTGCGCTCAGAGGAGATTGGCTCCAGGACATGGGGGCCACACCTGCCCAGACTCAAGATGGCAGCCCAGTAAAGCTGGAAGGATACGAGTTCTGGCATGTGAAGCCGAGTGTGGGAGGAGTCGGAAATGAGGCTGCAGAGGAAGATTGGCCGCGGGGATTTAAAACCCAGACTTGGCGGCCATTAGGAGGGAGAACCATGCGTCTTCAGCAGAGTGGAGACTCCCGCATCCCTGAAAAAAGAGAACCATGCGGCTTTGACGGAGTGGAGACTCCTGCATCCCAAAGAGAACCGTGCTGCTTTAGGAGAGAGAACCACGCGGCTTTGGCAGAGTGGGGACTCTCCCCTTCCCGCAGCCCTGAGAGGGAGAACCACGAGGCCTGGACAGAGCGGGGACCCCCGCAGCTTTAGAAGGGGGAACCACCACCTGGTTTTAGCAGAGATCCCGGCGACTCAGCCGAGGGTGCCGGGAACCCAGGGAGGTCTCCCAGTCGAGATGGAGGACTAACTAAGAACCAGAGGACTGTCTGAGCCATGGACTTCTATTTTCTTTCCTGAAATACAGTACTCTGGACTGGGCAAAGGGGGAAGGAAGGAAGGACTGTGTCTGTTTGTGGGTGTTTTTTAGGGACTTTAGGATTTTTGATAAAGACATTAGGTCACTACTTTAAGTTTGTATAGCATTAAATAAACATTTCCTTTCCTTTTCACAAATCTCTGGCATTGAGAGACGTCTTTCCTCTGGCGGCGGACATAACGGACCTGGGGCCTTCTTTCAATAATAGTATATTGTCTTGGCCCCCCCCTTGTTCTGTTCTGTAACATGGTGACTGAGTCCCAACTTCCAGCAATGTCTTCTGTAAACAGTTTGACTTTCTTAATCAAGAAAGAGTTTGTTGTGTTGATCCATAGTGTCTCAACAAGAAGGGCCAGGTTACATGATACCAAGACTCTTCTATGAAATATATCAAACCCAGAGGAAGGAGCATACAAAACAGGAATCAGCATGTCACAAGCAGCCCACCAAAACAGAGGCCTGAGGAGAGACAATTGCCCAACCAGTGCTGGAGGCAGCAGAGGACAGCAATGAACATGTGGTCCATGGAGTAGGAGATGAGGTTGAATTATGACTTCATCGCTTACTCATTGTAGACCGTGGAAATTCCCACATGTGTCATCTGTAAAATTTGAATGATAATATCCTTTTCTTATAAGGCTGTTGTCATGGACATGGTAAGTGCTCAATGAAAATACCTGCCATGATGATATGGGACCCCCAGAGGGAATGTGAGGGGAATGCAGTGTTTCCCACAGGCCATCAGCCAGCCAAACTGGACTGAAAACAGTGAGCTCAACTTGAAGGACTCAGTCCAGCCTCATTCTGCCGAGACAAAGTGATACCCACCTGAGGGTGCCATCACCTGGGTCCATGGTCTCCTATAGGTCTTCCCATTCACTTTCATAATCCTGAGACTCTTCCAGAGGCAAATGCCCTGAGGGAGCACTCCAAGAATAGAACTGTGGCAAGGGAATGGTCCCTGACTCTGCTTCCAAACATTTCACACAAGGTAGCTGGTCTTCTGATACACATTTGTTAGGAAGATACACTTCATCATCCACAGTAGAAGAAGGAACTTCAGGCAGATGGCGCATGTCACCTTCCTCATCACCCTGGTCCAATTCAGGACTAGAAAACAGGAACCTATGGGTCTTTCAGCATTGACTAGAAATTCCTTTCCCCAGCTTCTGTTGGGAACCGCCCTGCCTGGTATCAGAAGCTGTAACCCCCCACCTAGACAAGGCTAAGGGAACGCCCTTGGAACTGTAAGCCAGTAAGGAGACAAAAGCTTACCTCCCTGGCAGGAGTGCTGCTTTTGCTGCTTCATTCATAACTGAACCCCAAAGCTTGGTCAGTTAGCCAAAGACGGGTAAGATTCCCCAAGCAGGGAACGATCTAAGACAGGCACGATCACATGAGAGGCCCCCCAAAAGAAGTTCTTTGGGGGCTGCAGCAAAAGGGGGTGATGGAGCCTCGCTCCTCGGCTTTGACACAGCCTGAGTTCTCATCATCTGGGAGAAAATCTCCTTATCTCTTGGTTGCCTTAGTTCCCGTGCTCCACCTAAGCCTGAAACAATGACAAGGTGGTGCAGCTCTGTGCTGAAAAGGGCGGATTCCCCGGGTGATCAGGCCTAAGAAAGAACATGTAAATTACTGTGAAACCTTCTTTGTTTAGAATGCTCTCAGATGAATGAGAAGGGTCCAAGGAGGAAGTTAGTTTGATTCTCAAAGTCTTACAGCTTTTTGACCCTGACTCAAAATAGACCGTCAGACTTCCTTGTTTTCTATTGTTCCTTACTTCCTCGTAATGAGTACTGTACTTTACCTGAATTATTATGCAAAATGAGCCCAATAAAAGCAGGTTTGGATGGTAAATTGGCGCGCTCCCCACTAGAGGGGGTGGCCATTCCATCCCTACTTCTCCACAGAAACTAGTCTGTCTCTGTGCATGTTTTTTCTCACGTATCGTTGAGCCATCCACAGCGTTCCATGATCACTGCTGGCTGGTGACCCACGCATCAAGCTTCCCTTGCCTTTCAGGATTCTCATCATGGTGCATCACAGGAGAGCCAGGCAGTGTTCAAACCTTGTCAGAGACTGCTCTGGGGCCAGGAGGTAAACAGTGAATAAGGCATGACTCCTGTCCTTGAGGAGCCCCCCATTTAATGGGAGGAGTGAGCAGTAAATAAATGTCACAATCCAGGTAGTAAGTGCTATGGTAGAGGCAGCACAAAGTATTATGGGTGCAGGGGGAGTTCCTAACCAAGCTCAGGAGACCATGGGGGACTTGTCAAGGGGCATAACATTGCAAGCAAAGCTATGACCCAGTTCTAGGACTAACTCTTCACATGGGAGTCACTCAGAACTCAGGCAAGTTTATTAAATTTTCTGGAGCCTTGGTTTTCTCATCTAAATAGTGGGAAGATCAAGAAATGTATAGAATATTGGGATGCTTAAATTAAATAATTCTGATACAGAAGTCTCTGGTTCCTGGTACAGGGTAAGATCTTAAAAAGTAGGAGATGCCATTATTACAACACTGGTTATGATTGTTACTTCAACAGAGGAATTAGATGAAAAGGGATAAAGCAGAAGGTTGGGAGCAACTCAAGAAGGTGACTTTCAAATGTTTTGTGCAAATATCACATCCTTTCCTGAGCATTGAAAAAGTGCCTATTTGGAAGCAGCCAGCTAGAATGACATCTACTCCCTGTATGATGCATGAGGCAGATGAAGGGTGAGACTCATTGTCTAGCAATGAAGACACAAACATGACAATGAAAGAATAGCCTTCTAGATGCTCTCCAAAGTCACCACACATGCTTTTTGATTAAAAAGAGAAGCCTGTGAAGATGGAACAGCATTTTGTAGTTTCAAATATGTGGAGAAGATGCTCAGAAAGTATCTGTTGAAAATCTAGAGATGATGAGTAAGAAAATCTAAAATAAATGCACACAGATTTAGTTTTTTATCAAATTCATGAATCTTTGTTTATCAGCCTCCTTCCCCACCCCAAAATCAATGGGTTGGCATTGTTACATGTCCCCTGACCCTCCCTTTCCCTTTCTAGCAATGCCTCTTTTCTTTAAAATCAGTTTAGGTACCTCCCAATAGTTATAAGCCCCCAAACACCCATAGCACCTGTCTTCCTTTCCAGTAGAATTGGAGTGTCTGTTCCAACCTCAGTTTTGCTGTCCTCAAGAGCTTATCTCTGCTCATGAGAGCTACATGGTATATGGAAATGTGCATTTCATGTAAATATACACACATTCTTATGTATATAAGGAAACTGCATGTAACAGACTAAAGAACATTCATTCTAAAAAATCATTTATTTAAAAATCACTAAGCTCTTCAAGGGAAAATTGGCTTAAAACTTGAAGATACTTGGTTGAATTGTATAGAAAATATGGTTGCTTAATTGTATAGAAATTGTGCAGAAAAAAAATGGAGATTTTGTTAAAGAATGGGAAATCCAACCTATTGCCCAGGTGCACTCCGCACCACCACCTCCCAGGAGCAGTCCTCTGAGGAGGAGAAAGAGGTGGCAACATGTATCCGTTGGCCACAACAGTGTGGAACTGTCCAGGCCTCAGACCCTACCACCATATGCTTCCAATATTTTTAATACGCTCCTTGCTCTCCTGGTTTGATCCGGGGCTTCAACTACTAGCCGTGCCTGAAGTGAGAGAACCAGGGAGGCCATCAGCCTGGAAGGCAAGAGGCAAGCTGGCCAAAGTCCAGGGGGGTGCTTAGTGGCCCCCAGAGTAAAAAAATCCTGGCCATCACCCCACCACAGGTCAGGAAGAATGACTTTCTTTCCTCCCACCCTTTTACACATGCCACCAAGCTGCCATTGAGATATGACCTGGAGTCTGACTGTGAGGGTGGGGAAGGGTGAGCAAGGGAAAAAGAGACACAAAAAGTCCCATGAGACCCCCAAGGCACAGCTTATTTCATGGAAGAGGCAAGACTTAGAGATTTGGGGGGTTTAATAAGGATGGTAGCATTGCTTTAGAGCAAGGCCAGAAGTTTGGGCAGGTGGACATGCCAGGTAAAGAAGCAGGTCCTTCATCAAGGGCTCCAAGCTAGCCTGGGGCATCTGGGAGTAATGCAGCAAGGATTCCTATCAAGAGCCTGAATGGATCAAGGTCACAGAACTCTCTGCTGACCTTTAGGTACAGTTAATGACTTCAGCTGCTGCTCTAAACACAAGATAACTAGAGGAGAATCTGCAGACCTGATGTGAGCTCCCTGCCCAGCCACATTCCCCAAACAAGCTGGCAGGGCCCAGAACGCCAAATACTGCAACTCTTCAAAGACTGCTTAAAAGAATCCCAGTTAAGTTTTAGTCAGTGAAATCATTGTGAAGCCTTTGCTTATTACAGGGGATTTACTTCCCTGAACAGCTGTTCTTTAGAGACTTGGGCAACAAAATCATGTGCACCTTCCAGGAAGACAAGTCAAATGAGTAGACAGTATTTCAAGCCTAGATACTAAGGATTTGTAATTGCCCCATTTACTGTTGTTAAACTCACAACAAAGCTCAGGTTTTATGTCTTTTTTGTGAGGCTTAGCCTTCTCAATTCTCCAGCAACAGGCCCTGCCTGATATTCCTGTAAGCCCTGCCTAGTGCAGCTGGGAACTCAGGGCCACTGCTCCTGTGAGCCCCAACATCAGCATTTAACATGTAGGATTTGCAGTGTCTCTAAGATATCAAGTAGAAAAGTCCAGTGGACTACTGGGCTTGAAGAATAAATAATGATTCTGTTGAAGATCAATATTTAGGATTGTCAGAGTGGTATGTATGGAATGGGGAGAGTAGATGCTTTCCCCTGAGAATCTGTATATGGAAAGCACCCTGCTGAAGGGAGTACCCCGGCCCCAGCCTGACGAGGGCTCTGCCCTGCTGTTATATTGCTCCTGTTCTTAGCCAGGCATCAACCTCACTCACTCCACTCAGCCACACTCCGACTCCAGAGCAGGCCTCACAGGGCTCCCCTTCACCCTCCCATCTGACCAATAGCCCTCACCTGGCAGCCTCATTCATCCCTCAGCCAGCTGTCCTGATGACACAGCTGGCACAGCAGCTGCAGTAGAGTTAGACCTTTAGCCTCCTTACTATCCAGGAATAGTGTTCTGCCTCCCTGAAGGCATAGAGTAACTCTGGGTTTTTTTTCAAGAACTCTGTCTTAATTTTACATTCTTAAATGACTATGAAGACTTCTATCAATTCTTTCACTAAATACTGGTTGCTAAAACTACATGTGTTTTAATTACATGAATTTAACTATATGTGCTGGAGGTGGAAGGAGAGAGAGAGGGGAGAAATAAATGGAAATATCTGCAATGAACAACTTTTCACTCAATGAGGGTAAGCCCTGAAGTGAACATCAGTGGGAAACTTGAATTTGTCATCTCTTCATTCCTATAAGGCCAGCATTTAAAGATGAGCATTTTGCAGAGAGCCCATAAACACAAGTCACCAGACTATAACAGAGACCTAACAAAAAATAAATAAATAAATAATCTGTTCCCACAATGGGGAGGCAGAGGGGACATCATATCTTCCAAAGTGATGTTCAAGGGCAATATGGCATGAGGTGATTTTCACCTTATTCCCTAACTTTGGAAACATGATGATAAAATGGGCCACCTCAAAAGGAAGTGAATTCTGCATCCCTAGAGATATTAAAGCACAAGTAGGACCCCTACTTTGGGAACATCACAGAGCAGATTTCAGCGTGGGCTTCAAGGTTTGGAGTCAATGATTTTTATATTGAACAATCCTGAGATTCTGTGATGAATTCTTCAATGAATGAAGCAGTGACTACCTATACTAATAATTAGTTTTAAAAAATAACTTATCAATAACTTATAACCATGTTAGATTAATGGCTCATGGCAAGTCAAACTCCAGGCTATACCTAAACCCAGAGTCACTTTGTAAGCCAGTTCTCAGGGTCTCTGTCCATCACCCCAAATTATCTGGCAGTAAAATCTTCAAAATTCCAAGAATGGTCCCATGCCTACAAGGAAGTAGTTTCTTTTATTTTTCCTATAAGATCATGCTCATAGCTGTCCTTAGATAAATCTCTGTAGATTACTTCTTTTATTATTTAATCAATTTTTTCAATTACTGCCTAGAATACACTTGTGTTTATGCATTTTTAGACAATGAAATGAATAACACTGACAAATGTGCTTACCCACTTTGTTCTTGTTTGCAGACTAGTTGTTTTTTGTTTGTCTGGCACAGTCTTCTATTAAAAGTTGTCTGAATATATTTAAGGAACATACGTGGCTCCTGTTAGTCACAGATCTCACCCTGCCTAATTGCATTATGTGGTCTACTTCACATTTCATGTCACTGACAAGTCCCTATAGATCTGCCTTTGTCAGTCTTCTAAGTTGATCAACAAAAAAGAGACATATAATCTCACTGGGTTTATATAGTGTAAAACACAAACCATTGTTCCTCATTATTTGTCTGCTTTGTGCTCATGCTTCCACCTAGCACACACCTAGGAGCAGTATCTTACCCTTTCTCAGTATTTGTGCCCCTCTCTCTGCTTTTAATAGGTCTCTGTGCACTTTGGATATCTGTAATAAATATCAAATAGTATGAATCAAATAGTATCTGAAAGCTGAATCAAATAGTATGTTTTCCATCAAGACAGGACTGAGAATTGGAATAGTTAGGGCTGCATGAGCACAAAAATAAAGCTAAGTTAAAAATGGATATTGAAATGAATGTTTCAGTCTAGTTTTGAAAATGTAGGCATGTTTTTTTAAGCTGCTGCTGATTGTTAAGCATTATATTAGCAATAGAGATGATGATGTATAGAAGGAAATTCTTTCTTACCACAACGCTTTAAGATGCTTTGAGGGAGCAAGACACAGATTTGTGTGCTGAGAAGAAACCCCAAGGCAGCCTCCAAACCATCTGCAGCCTTCAAAAGTTCACAAGCTGTAATTACAGCAGCTCCAGACCTTATGCTTGTCTTGTGTTGGCCTCCCCTCCATATGCCTAGAACAGTGCTACACCTAGTATCTAAGTATCTAAGCATAGTTATTGACAACTCAATTGTAATTTTTAGCCACGAAATGCACACAATTTACAAAATATCTGCACATGTGGTGAGTCTTACCCAGTCTTCTAATGTCACAGACTGAATAGCAGTTTTGCCTCATATCCTTTTCCAAAGAGGTAGGCAATGCCTCAGCCTCTACTTCCTGTTGCTGTCTGCATAAATGAGGGTTGGAATCCCCAGGACACATCAAGGAAGTAGCCCAGGGTCTCCTTTATGTCTTGGTCCCATTGTGCCTCTCTGGTGGCCTGTTGCCAAGACTCTGGCCTGAAACCCAGGCCTTCCCCTACTTCTGGGGAGGCGCTGTCCCTCCAGCTGTTCTCTTGATCTAGGCTGGGGCTCTGCTCTGAGTCAATGTGTTACAGGGTGCAGCCAAGAGGGGGGACCCCAAATGGGCATTTAAAATGGGGTCCAGAACTCAAGGTGTTCAGGAGATTTTAGGATGTCCTCACCCCCCACCCAGGTGTGGGTTAGGGGAAGGGACAAATGGAGCAGGGCCACTGAGAACTGTTTTGCATAGCAACAGCCTTGCAGCTAACCTCTGGTGTGGTCATTTAACATATCTATAGCCTTTGGCTGGTCGCTTAGATATGTTAAATAGCTGTGGCTGAGCTCTGAGCCAGGGGGATGGAAAGGGATCTCCCCCCAAGATGGGACTGGGGGGCAGATCCCCCGAGTTACAGCACCTGCGTGGGAGCTTGGAGATGATTGGCTCCATGACATGGGGCCACACCTGCCCAGACTCACGATGGCAGTCCAGTAAAGCTGGAAGGATATGAGTTCTGGCATGTGAAGCCGAGTGTGGGAGGAGTCGGAAATGGGGCTGCCAAGGAAGGCGGGCACGGGGATTTAAAACCCAGAGGCGGCAGCCATTGAGAAGGAGAACCATGCTGCTTTAGGAAGGAGAACCATGCACAGCCCTGAGAGAGAGAACCACGTAGCCTTGACAGAGTGGAGATTCCCGCAGCCCTGAGAGAGGGGGAACCACACGGCCTGGACAGAGTGGGGACTCTCCCTTCCCGCAGCCCTGAGAGAGAGAGAGAACCACTCGACCTGGACAGAGTGGGGACTCCCGTGGCCCTGGGAGAGAGGACCACGTGCCTTTGCGAGAGTGGGGACCTCCCCCTCGCAGCTTTAGAAGGGGGAACCACCACCTGGTTTTAGCAGAGATCCCGGCGACTCAGCTGAGGGTGCCAGGAACCCAGGGTGGTCTCCCAGTTGAGATGGAGTACTAACTGGGAAGAACCAGAGGACTGCCTGAGCCATGGACTTCTATTTCCTTTCCTGAGATACGGTACTCTGGACTGGGCAAAGGGGGGAAGGAAGGAAGGACTGTGTCTGTTTGTGGGTGTTTTTAGGGACTTTAGGATTTTTGATAAAGACATTAGGTCACTACTTTAAGTTTGTATAGCATTAAATAAACATTTCCTTTCCTTTTCACGAATCTCTGGCATTGAGAGACGTCTTTCCTCTGGCGGCGGACATAACGGACCTGGGGCCTTCTTTCAATAATAGTATATCGTCCCAGGCCCTCCTTGTTTGTTCTGTAACAAGTGCATGTTGCCTTGGCAAATTCTTGATCTGAAACAGGTGTCTCTTAAAAGAAATCCTAAGGTTTAACAGATCCATGATATACAGTGATAAGAATCTAAAAGTTGCTTCTGTAAAAAATAACAAGGAATTTTTTCATGTAGAATAGAGCAGTTAAGAGATGCACTCTGAGGTCATCCTCCCTCTGTCAGGACCCTAGCTCCCATGGGCCCTAGGCAGCACACTTATCCATCTCTAAGCCCCTTAGCTTGGGACCATTGGAAGCCCTTGATGAATGTGTTTGTTTGTTTTTAATAAAAATTATCTTGAGCCCTGGCTAGTGTGGCTCAGTGGATTGAGTGCTGGCATGAGAACCGAAGGGTCACCATTTTGATTCCCAGTCAGGGTACATGCCTGGGTTACAGGCCAGGTCCCCAGTGGGGGGCACACAAGAGGCAACCACACATTAATGTTTCTCTCCCTCTCTATCTCCTCCCTTCCCATCTCTCTAAAATAAATAAATAAAATCTTTAAAAATATTTGAAAACTTAAACAATATAAAAACAGAAGTAACAATGACTCTTTATTCCACTTTCCAACAGGAAGTTTTTTTAAGTTTCTTTGTCTTCATCTGTCCTCATCTGAGATGGCCCATTTCACAGCCTCACTTTCCCTCCCATCATGATGCCCTCCCCTGGATCTCCTCTTCACTTCTCCAAATATTACTTGATTCTTCTCAACTGTTTACATTCCCCTTGGGCCTTTTAGGTTCTGATTTTGATGGCCTTTTATGGTGCACTAACACCACTCAACTTTCTAGAGGATAAAAATAATCTGTGTTTCAGTAGGAAACTATGCATTGCCTCTAGCACAACCTGGGGGTTATCTGATTTGAACTGTATTCATTTCTCTGAGATAGTTCATAACTCTGTATGAGTTAGGAAACCTTTTTGCCCAGTTTTTGTATCTGCCTAGTTCCCTCATTGAATAAGTTAGATAAAATCTCTAACATGTATTTATTTTACATCTCAGGGTCATGATTTTAACTTCCTAAAAATTATCTTATATTACTTACATCCCATGGCCTATATCCATGATGTAATATAGCACATAAACTAGCCAGCCAGACAGAGCTGAGCTCCCATACCTGCCATCACCTATAAGAAAGAAACTTTTGCTGCCCAGCCTAGTGGTCTCCTCACTTGTCTGACTGTTCAACCCCCACAATGAGAGGACCTCCATATATGTACTTTTATTTACATATGAGTCATAAACACTATGACTCTATTGATACATAAAGTACTTTTTAAAGGGTATATATAAAAATGTATAAGACCAGCCCTGGCTGGCGTAGCTCAGTGGATTGAGCACGGGCTGTGAACCAAAGTGTCGCAGGTTCGATTCCCAGACAGGGTACATGCCTGGGTTGCAGGCCATGACCCCCAGCAACCACACATTGATGTTTTTCTCTCTCTCTCTTTCTCCTTCCCTTCCCTCTCTAAAAATAAATAAATAAAATCTTTTAAAAGAAAGTATAAGACCAAAAAAATAGGAAAAGCAGTCTTTTTGTTCTCATGATTCTTGGGAGACCTCCAAAATCTCATTTTGAAACATTCCTCCCCTTCTAGCTCATCATCCCTGTACTTCCTCCCCAGCAAGCCTTCATCCCCTTTAAGGCTCTTCATGGATGGGCCTGCTACATTTTCACCACACTCTCCCTCCCAGCCACCCATGTCCACATTTTCCTTTATTCTGCTTAGATTCCATGGTCTGCCCCATAATCACTCCCTTAAAAACAAGAGCACTGAGCTCCCATCCTCTTGCCCCTCTCTGCCTCTATCGTATGTTATTTGCTGGTGCTGTTTTAATTACAGATATTAGTGACTTTGTATGTGTGGACTTTGTGCCTGCTTTTGAGACACTGACTAATACCAAATGTAGGGATGCAGAGGTAAAATGGACACTCAAGACTTCCAAATAATCTTTCTCTACTTTCTTAGTAAATTCAGTTTTCTGTTCTCTCTACTCTCTAAATTATTTCTCATCTTCTCCTCAAGTTCCCCACCTTACCTCTTACTTCATAGTGAGAATGAACACATTCAGACAAGAATCCTTCGTCTCTCACAGTAAACTCAGCTGACCAGCCTGCATCCTACCACAACATCCTCCTCTACTAATACCCCAACATGCCTCCTCTAATAGCCATACTATTTCTCTGTTATTCAAATGAGTGCCTATCCTCACTATTTCTGTATCTCCCCCTTCTCCCTTGTATGTACTCTAACCAGGCTTCTGGGGCCATTGTTCACTCCCCAACTGAAATTGTCCCAATCAGGGTCTCTAAAGATCTACCTCTTCCTAAATCCAAAAGACAATTCTCTGTCCTCATGTCACTCTACCTCTCAGCAACATCCAGTATAACTGAGCCCCCATCCTTCTTGAGAGCATTCATTACTCATTTATTCTACTTAAATGTTCAGATTTTACTCTGAACTCTGTCCTTGCCTGGTTTTCCTACCACCTCCCAGATCACTTTTTAGTCCCATTTGCTGTCTCATTTCTTTGAACCAGACCTCTCAATGTTAGAGTTTCCCATGGCTTACTTTGTCAGCCCTCTTCTTGACTTTTTCTGCACTCTTTGCCAAGGTAGTATCATCCATTTCATGGCTTTAAATGACATTATTTGCTGACAATTCCCAAATCTACTTTCAGTTCTCCTCACGTAACTGCCTAATAGACATCTCCATTTGGCTGTTCCATAAACAGTTCAGTTTTGTGTGCTATCAAGAACTATTGCTTCTTTTTCATGTATTGTAAACTCCTCCTTCTAAGCACCCCCTATCTTCATAAGTGGTACCACCATTCATCCAGCTTCACAAGCCAAATTTTGTGTTCTTTCTTCATACCCATATCTAATTGAAATAGAATTCTCTGGGCTCCACCTCCCAGATGTATCCCAAATCTGATTACTTCTTACCAACTATTCAACTACAACCTGAGTCCATGCCACATAATATCTTCCCTAAATAACTACTGGTTTGCCTCCCCTATCCCATCTCCATCAGCAAGCAACAAGTAATATTTCTAAAGCATAGACCATGTGAGGGTATGTTCCTGCTTAACACTTCATCTTCCACCACCACTCCCTTCAGTGGCTTCTCATTGCAGCCAGCACATTACCAAAACATATAAGGTCCTACATTATGTGGCCCCAACTACCTCTACACTTCTCCTTCTATTCTCCCCTTCATTAACCACAGTCCAAGCACCAACTGTTATCTTTTTGTCCTTCAAACATCCAGGTTATTCCTGTCTCAGAGACTTTTCACTTGTTATTCCTTCTGCTTGGAATGACCTTACTCAAAATGTTTGTACATCTGCCTCTTTCTCATAATTACTTTATTCTAATTATAAATTAAATGTTCCCTTTCTTGGTCTTCAGTCTGACCTTTGGAGTCACACAAATGAATGAAATTTCCTCTCCAGTTGGCTCCAGGTAGGAGAGAGAAAGCATGCTCACCATACCTTACCCCAAGCCATCCCACCAAGCTCTTCTGGGTTATCCCAGGTGGAACTATTTTCCAGGACAGAGGACAACTTTTCCTCTGGTATTTCCTGGATATACCAACAAAACCCAGGGTACCAAACTCCTCAGCCTGATCCTTGTGTGTGCAAAACTTGACCCTCTTTCACCCTGTTCAATTGCTTTAAACAATTGCTGTCATCTAAGCTTTATTCCAAATGGGTAAATTTCTTATTTCCTTCCCATAGCTCTTTTCTCACCAAAGTCAGCATCAACCAGCTCTCAGAATCTGAGCACCAAAAGAATCTGAATCACTAAGTCTCTTGTGCTGTCTCTAGTGATTCTTACCCTCATTTTATAGATGAGGAATCATGAGCCCTAGAGAAGTTAGGCAACTTCCCAAAGCCCATGCAGCAAGTGAGTGACAGAGCAGGTGTGGGGGATTCCAGGGTGTGCCCACAGATCCTCTTCCAGGCTGAGGCCCTCATTCCCCAGCTGCTAAGGGTGTCAGAAGCTGATGGCACTCAGCAAGCCCCTTCCCAGAAATTGAGCTCAGCTCAAGGGAGCTGCCTCAGCCAAAGTTAGGCCCCCTCCCTTGGGATAGCCCATGTGCCAGTGCTGGTTGATATTCAGGGTAAAGGCACAGACTCTCATGTCCCACTTAAGAACAGCTGGAAGAGGCCATCCCAGCTCCAGAGTTCCCTGTGGGGTCAGCAAAGACCCCTGTTGCAGCTGCACCACATTTCTTCTCCTTTTCCACCCCCTCAAACTGTTTTCCCCACCTTCCCAGGAGTGTTTCTAAGGATAGGCCCTATACACCTATGACACTGGAATCTCTCCTGCAGAGCCTGTGTCCTAGAGACCCAACACACCGCATCATGATAGTTAATTTTAAGTGCTAACTTGGCTAAGCCACAGTACCCAGACATTTGGTCAAATACTAGTCTAGTGTTCTGTAAAGGTATTTTTTTAGGCGAGATTAATGTTTAAATCAGTAGATTGTGAATAAAGCAGATTAACCTCTGTAATGTAGGTGGGCATCAATCAGCTGTAGGTTTTAAGAGAAAAAGACGAAGAACTCCAAGAATGAATACCACCTCCAGATTGCCTTAGGATTCATGCTGTAACATTAACTCTTCCCTGGAGTTCCAGACTGCCAGAATTAGGCTATCCAACCACCATAATCACATGATCCAGTTCCTTAAAATTTATCTTTTCTCCTCTCCTCTCACCTTCCCTCTTTTCCTCTTTTCTCTCTCCCTCCTCTTCTCCCCTCCCATTTCCCTCTTCTTTCTCTCTCTTCCTTCCTCCCCACCCCCATATATATGAACCTGCTTTGGCACACATATACCTTCACACATACACATCTTTTGGTTCTATTTCTCTGGTGAACCTAATACAAGCATCAAGGTAAAACCTCTGATTTTTTTCTTATTCCAATGCCTCTTTTCCTTGCACTAGACCCTTTATGGTTAATTTACACATTAGGAGGATGGATCACATTCTGCTGTCCATTTCGTTCCTCAGAATGGAAATCCTTACCTTCCCTCACTCTGGTTTTGTATCTGCTTCCTTTGTTTCTGGTTTCCCCACAATCAGCTCAGCTGTCATAGAGTCTGGCTTTAGAGGTTTTATGGCCAAGACCTGAACATGTGTAACCATATACAGGAAGATTCAAACATTAGGAGAGGCAGAATCATGGAGGAAAAGGAAAAGTCAGAGATATGACCTCATGAACTTCTTACCAACCAAATGAGTTTGGGGACCAGCTATTTTCCTGTCCCAGTGAGAGAAGTTGGCATTGAACCCTACCTAGAAAGCAAAGTTGGGCTTCTCAGAACCCACCAGACAGGAAAATGGTTACCTGAACCTGAGGCATGTGGAGAGAGCAAGGACACCACATCCTACCTGCCATCCCTGTTCTGTCTCAGGCAAGACACCTGAAGGGGGTAGGCAAGGTAGGAGCATGACTTCCTGTGGCAAGGTAGGAGCATGAGCCTCAGTAAATGGAGCACCTCCTACAAGAAACCAAACTCCATAGTCAAATGTGGAGCTGGCATGGCCGTGCATCTCCTCTTCTGTGCTCTCCACTATCTCCCTGTGCTGGCCCTTCTACCCCCTACCCCTGATATGTTACTCACTTCCAGAAAACTGTAGAGAACACCACTGTGGGCCTAACTTCCCAAAGTGCAAGGAGGCAAGGCCACTAGCCTGCAGCTCTCACAAAGATAATGAACCAGTATTGGACTGGGAATAGCCAGAGTTTACCCAGGGCCTATTCATAAAGCATCTGCCAATAATAATGCCTTTCTCCAGAGACACAGTGACTCAAACAAATGGCTACTCCAATTCAACCTCCTTTCCTTCCACCCCCTCATCTCAATACCACCAGTCATGTAGGTGCTGCAGGCAGTGCTCAGCTAAGGCCGTGGGAAACTCTTGACTATAATATTGCCACATTTCTCAGAGAATAGCCCTTAGATCGGAAGCTAGATGAAAAAAGACATTCCCCACCCAAACATACACTGTTTGGGGGATACTCCTTGCTCCCTACCCCACCTGGAGCCCTTCTCCACCTTCATGCAGCATGTGTGTGCTGTGCTCCAGAGGTGGGCCTGTATGGGCAACAGTGGGGCTTCCTAGTGGGCTCAGCTGGTGCCAGCATGGACATGGATAAAGACAGAGAACAGAGGGAGGCTGGTGATGACTGCATCCCTCAATTAACATCACAGCTCATTTCAGTGAGTCTGCTCCAGCTTCTGGGATTGGGTAATTGCTCCTTCCCATATCCCTTCAGACTTGGGGGAGTACATAACTGCACCTCATGTTCCCAGCCCCAGGGCTCCATATCTCCTTGCCCACACCTTTATTAAAATCCCCTCAAGTGAGCCAATTTTCCGCCAGAGCCCTGACTGACATGTACAATATTTCATAGAACTTTTTTGAATAACTATTGAGAAGTGTGTACTTTTCACGCTTTTTTAAATTACATATTTGTCATATTCAGGATAAGCAATGTAATACTATGCACCCGAAGTTGTGAATTTAGTAGAAAAAGGGGAAGAAGGGCAAAATGAGAACCACTACAGTCCCTTCAGCCTTATACTCACCTCCCAGAATGTGTTAGGAGACCTTTAGACAACACAAAAGCCCAGGGTTTAATCTCAGTTTCATTATGAACCTAATTAGAAGCAAGGCCCACTCAAGGTCAGCTATTTAAACACTAAGATGGAAAATTAAATGTGAGAATGTTCTGCTAATTATTCTCTGTGTGTGATCAAAGTCCAGGCTCCAGGTATGATTTTCAAGATCACAGAGTATTCTCTACAGTGAGTGGGCCTGAAAAAAAGCATGGTTGACATAAGCTTGCACATGAGGCTACATCATTCATGGCCTCCCACCTGGCAGACAAGGCCTTCTGTGGGCTTTCCATTCACAGCCAGAATAATGTCACCAGCTGCAATGACCCCCTTCTCCTCAGCTGGCTGTCCTGGGAAGAGCTACTTAATCCTCAAAAGATCATTTTTGAGGTGGCTGCAACTCTCTCTCTCCATCTGCACAAAACTGAATCCCAAACCACTGGCATTCTTTTTCAGTTTGACTTCAAATTGTGGACTTGTGTTGTAGGATGTGAATGAATAAATCCTTCACTAGATTACAAGTGAAATTGACCAGCCTCAAAATGCAAACTATCAAGTAGATGAACTATTTGTTTTACATAAAATGATTTCATTTTGTTAATTTTATGACAGAATCCATTATATATGTTATAGATCAGTGTTGTCCAATGGAAATAGAATGTTAGCTGAAAATGCAAACCACATAGGTAATTTCTTTTTTAAAAGTGAGAGGAAAGAGGTCAAATAAACTTAATAATATATTTTATTTATGATTACATATCTCTAAATATGTCTAAAGTATTACCATTTCAACTTGTAATCAACACAAAAAGAGTATTAATGAGATACTTTCCTCTCCTCTCATTAACTAAGTTTTCAGAAACTGAGACTGTGTTTTATCAATTTGGATTAGCCACATTTCAAGTACTTAATAGGCACATGTGACAAATGGCAATCACATCACACAGTGCAATTATAGATAATCAACAAAGTCTATATGTAAAGATATAGTTCATAGACATATACAATATGCCCATTGCATTTAGTAAAACTAGTATCACATACACTCTTAGTACTCCTTTAGAACTTCAACCATTTTCTAATGTATTTGGAGCTAAATTTTGCATACTTAGACTATGGAAACAATTATGGCCAACTCCATGGAAATGTCTTAGTTGCTGTTTTGTTTAGCCATGTGGACTGACCATAGGAAAAACAGCTGCCTCTGGGCTCCCAAGATAGATACAGCCCCAGGAACCTGGGTGTCTGGCAGCCAAAGAGGCCTCTCAGCATCCCCTCATTTGGCTTCTTCAGCTCAGCTGGCATTGTTCAATATAGGCACAGAGCACTGCCTTTGTGAACTTTGATTTGGGGCAGAAGAAAAGCATCAGAAGCTCTTAGGTGCAAGTGTGTTGTGTGACTAATTTCACCTTCACCATTATCTGGCCCCTTTGGCTCACTTTGTACTCAGTTTCTCAAAGGTCCTCACTGGAATCAACAGTGAAGCAATAAAAGAGGACAGGTTTGTTTATGAACATGTGTGCCCTCCACCCAACCCATCACTCACTATGGCTACCTTGCATCCCACCTGACTTACACATTCCAGAAAATCTCTACAAAGGGACTGGGAAAACAGTTAAACTCCAAATCATAATATCCTATGTAAATAAGCCTTTTTCCTAGCAGAAAACAAAATTACAGGGAAGTGCAGAGAGGCAACCCTCAGAAGATGTGTGCTGATGCCCTAGTAAACTGATTGTGGGTCTGCTTTTTAAAATGATGCTGATAAAAAGGCCAGATTCTGAACACCTTTCTCTCTCAGTCTGCTTCATTATTCCTCAGATCCTTTGTTACAAATACTTAGCTTGAATGTGGAGCTTTGGTCAGAAAAATGCATGACCCTTTCATTTCAATTTCATCCCCAAATACTTAACACAAACATTCCAACAGCTGCTCAGAAACCCTCAGAAGGTTTGGTGGCAGAATTATGCCTTTCAGTCATTCTGGGACAATGCATTATTTTTCCAGAAACACATTTTATCAGATTGTCTTTCACTATATCAGAAAGCTGACCACATCATGACCACCACTGCTCACTATCTTTCTGAGAACCCAGAAAAAGCCTTCCTCCTTTCCCTTTTGAGTTGACCATTCAAAAGCAGCACAGAATGACATGACAATAGTAACAATTCTCTCTCTTCTCATCATCTGTCCTGAGACACAGCTTGCAGGCTTGCCCAGGCAAGGCTGTTGCCAAGGAAACAGCCGTGCATTCAATTCCTATCCCATTATTAACAGAAGGACACTGCTGTGCAGTCCTCAAGCCTCTTCCCTCTAACACCAGTCTTGCAACCTAGGATGGGTGAACAAATGCAATTTATACCTTGTATATCACCCAGAACATTCTCCCTTCACCCTGCAAATGCTTTTTAATTTTCTGATTCTTCCAGTAGCTGCTTCACTTGAATCTCAAATTAAGATCTCCAAGCTAGCCTATCTGTTGGGATCCAGAGCCATATTTCCAACTGCCTATTGGACAAATTCTCCTGGAAGTGATATATGTGCCTCTATTTCAGTGTATTCAAGGTCAAATTCATTTTCTCCCCCTCACTCATCCTCACTTCTTCCTCTTCCTTTTGCCAAAAACATTTCTCCCCAAGCATTTGCTCTTCCAGAATATGGGACATCCCTCAACTAATCTGCCAGGACCACACTTGCAGTGGTCAGCTCTCCCCTGCTGCCCTCAAAATTCTCATCTGATTTCTAAGACTTGAATGTTCACCATCAGAAACATCTCAGTGCACACTACTTCTCTACTCCTTCTCCTGCTGCCAGTGCCCAGCTGGACTGTGGCTAGCTCCTTGGCTTGCTGGACCCTAACTTCTCCTTTTGTAGCCTGTCTTCTTCATGGACATCGAGGGATTGATCAAAGACACAAACTAAATATGCAATACTCTTGATTAAGAGTCTCCAATGTTTCCCATCAGCTAAAGTCCCAACCCCTAGCACAATATCCCATACCCATGCCAACCTGGACCCCCTTACATCTGGTTTGATTTCCATCCCTCTTCACACACTCAAACGCTTGTTACCCAAATCATGGTTCAAGAACCAGTAGCTCGATATCACCTGGACACTTTTTAGAAATCTCAAATTTCCATTCAAGGGAGTTGGTCCTCCTAACATTCTTCTGTTGCAATTGTCATTTAGCACTAATCCCATGATCCTAGAGTGACAATTCCTACCTGTCATCACCACCAGTAGGCTGGCCAAGTACTTTCTGTAATATTAATTAGCAAAGGTCTAAAGACCAAAGAGTACTAATAAATTATGATTCTGTTCTCAAGATATGTATACCAAGGCTGTCAATATAAGTAAATTACCAAAACCCAGAAGATTTCTTTGGTTAAAAAAAGCAAAGCTTTCCAGAAGGGGCCTCAGGAGTCCTTTCTGTCTCTGCAGACTCCTCAGTTACTGAGAGAGCCATGTTAGCTCTGTAGTTTAGGATACTGGGGCAAGTAGAGTCTCCTACCCTCAGGCAGAGATTGAAACAATGTGATAATATCCAGATGCTGCCTGGGTGAATGCCTCTAGCTCTCAGCATCTTGAATTTCTACTTCACTGTAATGAAAGGATTCCCAGGATGATGTGGCCTTTAATGCCACATCCATGATGATGAAAACCGAAAGGACTGGGGGGTGGTAGTAGGTGTGGGGGGATCAGCATATGCAAAGGTAGGTTAGTAAGAGAGCCTAAGAGTAGGTGGAAGCCCTGGTCACTTAGTGCTGAAACAGAGAGTGAGGGCAGCCAGAGCCAGGCACGAAAAGTGGCCCCACTCCATCAGCTCTGTTCAGCTGTGTGATTCCAGAATCCAGGCAAATGACAAGTACGTTTTTCAAGGCTGTTTATAGGGGTTAGGTTTTCCGCTTGGGAACATCTGTCTGCTTCCTCCTGGCTTTCACATCCACATAGAAAAGGAAAGATAAAAGGAAGACACAAAAGAAAAACAGACAAGGAAGAAAGTGTTGTTTTGTTTCCTGCCTGGCCCCCTCCCACTCACAGGAAATTGCAGTGTCTGATGTTGACCAGGAAAGCTCTGAAAGGAAGGGAAATTCCCCAGTTATGAGTGATGGTGCACTTACCTGCCTGGAGCCCTTAAGGCACAGCACAGCCTGCTTGTGGGTGAGGCCACCCAGACTCATTCCATCAACCTGCAGGAGCCTGTCTCCTAGCAGGGAGACAGATGTGATGTTCAAAGGTCCCTGAGGCTGCAGGAAAGACTGTCCTGGGGGTTCCTGCCCAGTGCACTTCCATGCAGCTTCAAGGAGAGGTAGGAAGCAGAGTAGCAAGAAGCCCTGCCTGGGCCTGAGGGCCGGCGGTGCTGTGAACATCTTCCACTACCAGTGAGAGAGAAGCCTTTCTATTGGTTGGGCCATCCCTGTACAACCCCATCCTTTCTCCTGTTTTTCTGTGAAACTGTTTTTGAAAGTTTTTCAAGTCTCTTTGGGGTAATGTTTATCTCCAGAATATTTTTTATTTTAAAAAAGGTCAGGGAGACCTGGTTGATGCCAGAGACACTGGAATTCTAGGAGAAATGAAGTAAGAGCCTAAGTGCCCTTTTTGGTTCAATTATGGCTATTTTAGAGAACAATCTAAATCACTTACTTCTGTTAGAGTGGTGGACATGAGGAAAGACAGAGAAAAGGCTCACCAGTGTCCACTCCAGACACTAAAATGAATACATCACCAATGTATTCTCTGTCCTCCATGGAAACTACTATTTTCTCCCATGAAGGCCAAACTGTAACATGCTTATTTAAAATCTTATGTTTTTGAGTCACCTTGTGGTTCTCAAAGTGCTACTATTAATATCTGATTGCTATATGAACCTATCAAATGGGTGGGCTAACATAAATTGTCCCCTTTTCCAGGTGAGGGAGCTATGATGTGGTGAGGCAGTTATTTGCACAATGTCTCAACAGTGGGAGCAGGGCTGCACCTCCCAGGTCAGGGTTCTGCACACTGAAGAATGCAGTTCCCAGCATGATTCCATTCCTCACCCTGCAGGATCTGCCCTTCCTTGGCAGCTGGTCCTCTAGGAATGATGGATTTCATGTATATCCCTTCATAGGGCACACCTGTGTTAATGCCACCCTGAAAAATACAAAAATGTCACCACCTGTCTGTTCCCTCTTGGAGGGCCTCCCTGACCTTCAGGACTAAAAGAGCCCCCATCTGCCTGCCACTGTATCTCCATGTGATACCATCTTATCTATTCACTCATTTGTTTAGCATATAGTATCCATGAGCAGGTACTCACAAGAAATATAACAATATGAGCTGTGTAAGGGAGCTGCTGTATCCAGCTCCAGCAATGGCCCATGGCAGGTGTTTGAAAATCAGAGCCACATCAATGCACCACACTGTCTCTCCATAAGCAACAGCCAATAAAGGTGAATGCAGCTATGGACTGTGCCTGTCACATCAATGTCTGGTGCCTGGTATGTCCTGTATGCTTGTGTGCTGGTTTGTGGATACAAAACTAGAATTAAACTACACAGTATTCAGCAACTTGCTTTTTTTAACTTAATAATTGATTGTGAACATCGCTATAGGCCACTAGATAAAGATTTAACTCTCTCTTCTAATTACTTCATGCATGTATATACACATAAATAGATTGTTAGATCAGTGGGATTATATCAGTCCTGTACAGTATTTTTCCTCCCTCCTCCAGGATCTGCCAGATAGAGCTCACAAACCAAATGCAAAGTGTCCATTCTGAACAGAGTTGTTACCAACCTGGCTTTGTCCTGACCTTGAAAGTAGGAGCAACAGACTCTATCACGACCCTTCTCTGGGTGGCTGTGGATATCCCTCTCACCTTTGGCTTGTGTCCCTCCAGACCCACCCTGCTATCCTCTCCTTGCTGCCCAGCGTAAACTCAGAGTTAGGACTCATCACCCAATTCCACCCACACTGCTCATCCCAAGTTTTCCCTATGTCTCCCAGGTTGTTTTTGAACTCCCACACCCTACAAAGGCCCAAAACAACTTTCTTGGTTCACCCATTTCTCATATTCTGCTTGTACCATTGAGCACATTATCAGAGGTTACCATGTGAATGGAATGCCCACCAAGCCTCCAGATGAACATCTTATTAACTGTTTATATTCTGAGCTCTCCTAATAACTCTTACAGTTATGCTGAATCCAAGTGGTCCATCTTCTTTAACCAGTTCCACAAAGCAAATTCCACTGGCATTGGTTTCTGAAAGTGATGGAGAACAAGAAGAACCAGCACCCTGCTGCAAAGAAACAAAAATAAAGAAAGTATTTCTTTAGTAGAAATACTAAAAGTGAGGGCACTTGCCCTGCCTAAGCAATAGCATCTCTTAGCTCTCACCTACTCTCAGGGACTGGCAGCATTGCACACCAAAACAGTTATGAACTGAGTTGGGCCAACAGGGGATTTGCTTCAAGCTTTAGCAGCTCCTGCCTATATCACCCTCAACCAGGCTTTTGATCTCTCCATCCTTAGTTTCCAAATCCACAGAGCTGGAATAAGAGCTCCTCTTCTAACAGTGGCTATGAATGATGCCCAGCACATAACAGGGACTCAATAAATTTAAGTCCTCTCCTATTTCTACTAAAGATGCAAATATTGTTATGAGAACTGAAATCATCCAGGCACTTCCTGGTACCATCACACATGACATCAGCCTAGTTATAACATGCTGTATACCAGATACTCAGCAGCTTCTTGAGCAGAAGAAAACCTCAGGAGGACCTTCAATCAACCCCAGCAAGAGTAGCTGCATTGGGTTTCTACTTTATAGTGGATGAATCTTTAAGAGAAGGATAAAAGAGAAGAATTATCTACCACACATGCCAGGCATTTTGCTTGGTATTGTGAAATAACCATATAGGATTTGTTTATTTATTCATCCAATCATGCAACATTAATTGAGCACCAGGAATATGGCAGTAATCAGACAGACCTGCCTGTATCAGACTACTAGTGGGGGAGAGAATTTTAATGAACTCTGCCCAGAAGATGGGACCAGAGATACTCCCAGCCTTTTGTTCTAATTGCCCCTTTTGCTTAGATACTTTCTAGCCCACCCCCATGCGGGAAAATATAACACATAGGAAACTAAGCAGGCTAAAGTAAGCTTGAAAAAATTATCAGTTCAACAGAAGCCCTGTAGGCCTTGCTTCTTACAGAAGGGTGTCTTCCAAAGTGCAGTCCAGGGTGAAGGTTTCTGCTCTGCAGTCTCCTCCCCAGATTTGAATCTAAGCTCTGCCACTGACTCCCTGATAGACCACGGGCATGTTCTTTTCCTCTCTGTTCCTCAAGTATCCCACCTATAAAAGGAATAAGGATAGTAATGCCCATAGGCTTGTCATGAAGCTTACATAACACACCCAAGTGCTTGGGTCCTTGCCTAACACATGGTTAAGCACTAAATAAATGTTCACTGTTAGTATTATTCTCTTGTTGACCCCACATCTGGTTCTTCATGTGACATGCTGTCCAGGTGAGCGTGATGGCCAATTATGAAAGAACTAGAATTCTTCAACCCTACTGTGAACCAAATCCTGGGTACTTTTGTCTCCACAGCTCTATGAAGAAGCATCGTTACCACAACCACAAAAGATAAAAATGAGGTTGAGAGCCTACAGTCAAGATGTCAGTGTAGGTAAACACAGTACTTGGAACCTCCCATAACGACATCAGAATTACAACTAAACTTCAGAACAACCATTATTCAGACCATCTGAAATCTAGGAGAACAGAAGTTCTATAACTAAGAATATGCATAAGAAGCCACATCAAGGCTTATAAGTAGAACAGAAATGAGGAACATGCTGGTCCTACACCCAAAATTGGGAGGGATACCTTGGCTGTGAAGGTCCCCCCAGGAGCAAGTGGTCTCAGCCCCACACCAGGCCCCCAGTCCAGGGTTACAGTGCTGGGAAGAGAAGTCTGCATTACTTTGGACTGTGAATGCCAGTGGGGATTGTGGCTGAGTGAGACAGCTTCTAGAGCTCCAGAAATTCCTCTTAAAGGGCCTGTGCACAGGCTTACTCAGACTCACTCTCTCTGAGCTCCAGCAGTGGGGCAGCAGTTTGGAAAGTGCCTTAGACATATGGGGAGGAGCTGAATTGACTGGCATTATGGCAAGGACTGGAGGGCAACTTTCTCCCAAGCAGAAGTTTCTTTGCTAAGCCCTCCACCCACAGTCAGCAGGTTGATGCCATATCTGAGTCTCCATCAACCTAGCTCACACTGTTCACCCCACCCTGGTGATTCCCTGAGACCCTGACCCACCCAACTTTGGTCCCACTTAAGCCCTTCTCAGTGGATGTTCCATACAAATGGCGTGCCTTGGCTCACACTGCTAACTTTCCTAAAAATCTCACAAACAAGCAGTAACTGGCCTCTGTATCCTCCATACTTCTTGCTAAGTTACCTCAGCCTGTCACTAGCAGCAGCCAGTCTTGGTTCACAACTTGGCCTTTCCCAGGCACCTCCAAGCCCAGACAAGTAACAGCCTTATGCAGATTGCTTTGTAGCTCAAGCAGGTGGTTCTGGAAGGAGCACTGGTGGCAGTTGACCTTGACCTGTTTCTCTTGAGAGGCTCCAGAGCCAGCACACCCAGGGGACAGAATCAGATCACACTGAACCACCACCAACCTTCGTCATGAGCAACACATTCAAGGGGTGGACTCAACAGTGACCTGAGCCCTGATGAAGTGATTCTGCTCTGTGGGATCAGCGTCCACACAGAAGGTTCTCTACCATGGTAAGAGTCAGTACCTACAGCTGATCTGCCTGGGGCTAAATCCCTCCCATTGATGTTTCAATGGTAATCAAGGCTCAACTAAAACAGTAGGGTGCACATAGCCTGCACCGAGGGAGGTGTACCTGGAGCACCCAACTCAGGTGTCTGGGGAGGCTTTGCCACTAGGCCCTGCAGGACACCTACTACATAAGCCCACTCTATCAAGACCAGGAGACAGAGAGGCTTTACTTGATACATAGAAACAAATGCAGGGAGACTTCCAAAATGAAGAAATAAAGAAGTATGTCCAAAATGAAAAAAAAAAACCAACAGAACAAAACTCCCCAAAAAGAACTAAACAAAATGGAGACAAGCAATCTACTGTTGCAGAGTTCAAAACACTGGTTATAAGGATGTTCAATGAACTTAGGAGATGAGTAGAGGAACTTAGTAAGAACGTCAACAAAGAGATAGGAAACATAGTCATTGGAGGGGAAAACATAAAGAAGAACCAGTCAGAAATAATGAATACACTAACTGAAATGAAGAATACATTACAGGGAATCAACAATAGAGTAGATGAAGTCAAGAATCAAAACAGTGATTTAAAAGATAAGAAAGCAGAAAATACCTAATCAGAACAGCAAAAATTTTTTAACCCCCCTAAAATAGGATAGTGTAAGAAGCCCCTGAGACAACTTCAAGCATACCAATATTGCATCATGGGGGAGCTGTAGGGAGAAAAAAGAGAGCAAGAAATTGAATGCTTATATGAAAAAATAATGATGGAAAACTCTCCTAACCTGGTGAAGGAACTAGACATACAAGTCCAGAAAGAGCAGAGAGTCCCAAACAAGAGAAACCCAAAGAAGCCCACAACAAAACATACCATAATTAAAATTCTGAAGGTTAAAGACAAAGAGAGAATCTTAAAAGCACCAAAAGCAAAGCAATTAGGGTGGCTGTGAAGCAGATGGGAGAGGAGCCCACTTTCCCCTACACTCAGCTGGAATACCTAGATGATCTTCTGAGGAACTGAGTGAACAGCCAACAGAATCCTAGCATATATGAAGTTTTGAGGCCTAAATTTTAGAGAATGTTGAAAAACAGGTGGTAGGGATGGTAAGGTCCCTGGGATCCGGGCAGGGACCAAGGCTGCTGTGGCCCTCAGCCCAGCACCTGTTGCCATGGTTGGCAGCAGCCACAGGATCTTTGAAGGAGAACCAGATCAGCAGCTCCCTCCACTACCAAAGCATGGAAGACAGTGTGGCATAACCATGAAAGACCTGGATGCTTGAAGTCATTGGGGAGAATAAAGACAAAATGGGAGGTGCACAGGGGTGGTGTTCACCTGCTAGGACTGTGGATGCTGGCCTAGGTAATTACCAGAGAAATTTGGGAGCTGGGTGACATCTGGAGAAGGGAGAAGAGTTGGGCCCTGACATACCCTGACCTGGATAGTGTCTGGTCAGTTAGAAAGTTGGGTTGTGTGTAAAGCCAGGTACTTGTTAAGAATGGCAGTCTTGAACAAGTGGATTTTACTTAAAAAAAAAAAAAGGCTCTCAGCCACTGTTTAAGGAACTCTTTTGCAGTGGCTGGCTCTCATGGTGATGGGCTCGTTCAGTAGCTGGCTAGTGAAGAGGACCGTCAGAGCAGGGTAGCAGGGTTCAGGGAGTTAGCAGTCCCCAGAGAGACTTAATTTAGTGGGAGAACTGAACTTCCCTAAAGAGACTTTAAGAGTACACAGCACCCAGGCCAACAAAGAGGGAGAAGGTAGTTGAGTTACCCCTAATCAGTGCACCTCGTGGACAGCACAACTGGTGAACTAAAGGTGCTGGCCTGGCATAGATGAACTGTGGGGGCCAGGCAGTAGTGGCAGCGCATGGAGGACCTGGGCTGGAGGCTGGGCAATAGTGAATATCACAGCCCAAGCCTGGTCCCAATGCTCACAAAACCACAGGAAGGGAGGAAATCGAACCCCAGTCCTCCTCCACCCCCAGCATCTAGGAAGATCAGCAGAACTTGCTCTTTGGCAAGAGGCTTTTTTTTAATCCCTCTTACAAGTGATACAATAAGACTTGGAGCTGTGAAAGGTCCAGAGACATATCCAGAGAGGGAGCACAGGGCTAATATCAACAACTGAGAAAATGAGACAAATTTCACTTTGCTATCCTATAGAACTTGCATGTTGTTGTTTATTTGTATTATTTTTTCATTATTTGTTCTTCCTTTATTTTATTAGTATTTTTTATTTCCCTTCTTTCTATTAGTTTTCTTCATTTTATTCATTTGTTTAATTGCATTGATTGACTGGTTGTCTTTATTCTCTCTTTCATAGTGTATTTTAATTTTCCTTCTTTCACTTCACTTGTATTCCAACAGCACACTACTCTAGGTCATGTACTTCCTATTCTTGTTTTTCAGATCATATAGTTCCTGTCATATTATTGTTGTTCCAGTATTATTGTAAATAATTGTCTTTCCATATAATTGTAAATACTACACAGCTCCCCTCCCGGATCTTAGACCATTTCACTATCTTCGGAGCCTTATTACTGTTTGGTTAACTCTATTCTCTTGCACACTACACCTGTTTTTCTATCCATTTTTTCTCACTACATCTCATAATCTAACCTCCCAAAAGCACTCTATTTTTTTGGATTCAGTTCACAATCCTTCTGCACTTTGACAAGAGCCTTATCTCTTCTCCACCTTTTATAAAAAGTGGCTAATGGGGTGAAATATCACAGTTAACACTACACTCAGTACACTTATTCAAAAGGTCTCCTATCTCTTCTTTTGAGTAGGTACTTTAAATCCAATAGAACATGCTCCTTCTGTCTTAATCCATTTTTTTTTACTTGCCCTGACTGGGAATCAAACCTATGACCCTTTAGTGTGTATGCTTGTACTCAATCCATTGAGCCACAACAGCTAGCACTGTCTTAATCCATTTTGCCTCCCCCCTCCAACTGATCACATAAAAGAGTAGGTGGAAGCTGAGAACACCAGTATATCTGGTAGAAGAGAGACCCCACTAACAAAGGAACCACCAACAGATAAAACAGGAAGATGGCAGAGGAGTGAGTGGAAACCACACTAGCCTCCACCCAGGATAAATCTGGAATTATGACTAAATGGTGGAGAAATTACCCAAAACAAACAACTGAACAATAGCAAGAGAGAAGCATCATAACCTCAGACAGACAGAAGAACCAGCTTCAGCACAACTTCTCTGCACCTGCACAACAACATACAAGATGTGGTACGCAGAGTGACACTCAGTTAACCAGCTGGAGAGAAGGACCCACCAAAAAAAGACACAATAACAATCAAAACCAATATATCCAGAAGCCAACATAAACAACAGCCCAAGAGCAGTAGGTTCAGGAGATCAAGGAGACTGCACGACTGAATGTCACAGCTCTCCTACCATAGAAGTTCACAACACAAATCAAGGGAGTGAGAACAAATCAGTTTAAGAAGCAGAGGCTAACAAAAAGAGTCTCACAAACAATGGGAAGACAAGAAACAAACCTCAAATGAAAGGAAAGGAGGAAGCCTCAGGAAAGTGCTAAA